TTTGAATAGGATCTCACATTTTTGCCTAGGCTTGCCTGGCCTGTGATCCTCCTATTTATGCCTTCCAGGTAGCTGCGATGATAGGCACACACCATTAGATCACCATACCTGGCTAAAAGAAAATTAAAAAAAAAAAAAGATTTAAAAAAAATGGAAGAAATTTATCCTATTTAAAATAATTTTTTTTCAGGCAATGTCTCACTGTGTAGGCCAGACTGACCTTGAACTCACAATTCTCCTGCCTCTGCCTCCCAACTGCTAGAATTATAGTAGTTGAGCCATGCATTTTGTTCTTGGTACAGGATCTCAGTAACTTTGCCCACCATGTCTGACTTCAGTTTCATTTAATAGACCTCTACTGCCCTTTCCTTCCAAGCCATGGGAGATAGAAACCAAGCTTGTTTGCCTCTTTTCTTCTCCCATGGAGGTCTCGTCATGTGTCCTATGTTTGGCAGGGTCTGATGCCCTGTGCAACTTACGAAGGCCCAAGTGATTGTTAAAGGCGGATTATGGTTCCATTCAGGACCCAAAAGTGAGTTTGGGAAATAAGCCACTTCCTGAAAGGCTGTCAGGGCTAGCCACAATTTTGAACTCAAGAGCCCTAATGATTTGAAATGGCTGATGTGGTGCAGCATTGAGAGGCCAGGTGATGTAGAGTCTGTGTCTCTAACAGCCAGACTGCCTGCTTTGCAGTCCTAGCTTCTCTGTATGCTCTATTAGGAATCCAAATGGTAATATAGTTCCTACCTCATTAGGATTGTTGTGGGGATGATCCAATGAGCTAAAATATGTAAAGAATGTAGAATGGGACCGAGCTCATAGTAAACACTATTAAAATTTCATAATAATAACTTTTGTTATCATTACTGTCACCATTTGCATTATTGGTGGAGACAATTTAGCAGTCTACATGCAAGGCAGCTCAAAGTGTCCTGGATCAGGAAAAGTTGTTCCCACACAATGCTTCAGGCCTGTTGGAACCATGTGAAGTTGTGTGGGTTGTTGTGCTTGTAATCCAAGTCCCAAAGGAGACTCTGAGCCTATGGGGACTAAGTATACATCCTCAGAGGGGAGCGTATGGGTAGAGTACCACTTGGACTTGTGAGTTTGATTGCTTTTTCTTAGTACAGGTACATTATGTCTATAACAGACTGCGGTCACGGTAGTTTAAAAAATGTTTTTAAAGAAATACTAGATGAAAACTAACACCAGTATTAAACATGAACTGGTCTAACACAGCAATTTCTTCTTCTCAGAGTTTCATTTTTTTCATTGACAAAATAGGAATTTGGAGTTAGCTAATATACTCCTTGTAAGTCTACTATTCTGTGAATGTAAGGAGAGATTCTTGAGGTTTGAAGAAATAAGTGTACAGGGGCAGTGGATAACACGCATACATTAACGTTCCAAACACAGGTAAAATTTTTGATTCCGTCTCATGACAATCATTTACTTGTATTATATAGCTCTTTTTTTTCCTAGGAAAATGTTTTTCAAAGAATAATCAATACTAGCTTGGTATTGCGTGTTTTTATTTTAGCCATTCTGAGGCACATGTAGAATTACTACCCTGTAGCTTTTATTCGCATTTCTCTGATAGTAATGTTAATCATCTTCTCATGATTTTTAGCTGTTTGGTGGCTGTTCAAGTCCGTTGATCTTTTTTCTATTGGTCTCCTTTGTTATTCCTATCAATTTGTAAGAGTTTAATTAACTGATTGTTTACATGGACTGATTACCAGTCTATGATGAATTTTTGAATCACAACTATCATCTCTCTTTCTGTCCTTTAGTGTTTTTCACGAATAGAAGTTTATAATTTTTTTTTTACAGATCAAATTCCGTGTTTAATATTAAGTGAATATGATCGGATATGTAAATTAATTGAATGTGACATAAATTACGAAGGACAAGGTTCTTTTTTTTTGCAAGATACCTCCAATGTTTAACATGAACTATTGCAAAACATACTTTTTATACTTTTTTTACTTTTTATAGCTGACTGTGATATTATTTGGCTTTCTCTCAATTCAAAAACATCCTTTATTATGGTCCTCTCTCTTATTTTTGCATTAGCCTGCAACAGTTGAAGTCATATATGGTGCCTTTCATAACGTCAAATGAAGTTTATAATTTTAATGAAACTTAATTTGTAAGTCTATAACTTTATTACTAATGCTTTTCGTGTCTTAAGGAAATCTTTCCCTACTCCAAGATCAAAATATATTCTCATGTTTTCATTCAAAAGCTTTCTGATTTTCTCTCCCACAGTTAGATTAATCTGTAACTGATGTTTTTGTGTTAGTGGATGGTTTGTGACAGAAACCCATATATGTTATTTCCATAGTGTTACTCAGTTGATCAGCATAATCACTGAAAAGGCCTGTCTCCACCATCGCGCAATGACAGTTTATCTTCATGTTAATCAAATAATTGAATTTGGCTTTTTTTTTTACTTTACCAATACCATGTTCTCATACTATAATATTATAATAAAACTTGATATTTGGTAGCACTTGTATAAATTGAGAATCAGCTTGTCAATTCCTACAAAACAGACTACGAGGATTTCTATTTGTATTTCATTGGGCCTTTAAATCATTTGGGGGAAAACTGGTATCTTTATGTTGGATTTTCCAGTTTGTAAAGATCTATCTGTCCTCCCACCCCACTTTAAAAACAATTTCCCTTAACGCTGCATCATGGTTTATATTGTGGGGTCTGTACCTCTTGGCATCTGTCACATCTTTTATTAGATTTACTCCTAGGTATTTGACATTTTGTAATCTTAATGTAAGTGACATTTTAAAATGCATTTAAAATGTTTGTTGTATGCTTAAAGAAATACCTTTGTGTTTAGAAACTTTGCTAAATTCACTTGTTAATTCCAACAGGTTCTAAAGCCTTTTAAACTGTTCACATGCAGAATCATTTTGACATGATTAATGACAATATAATGTCTTCTTTTCTGATCTTCATAGTTTAAAAAAAAAAAACCTTTCTGGCCCTATCGTACTTGGTAACACATTCATTACATACTGAATGGGTGTAGTTAGTGTAGGCCTCCTTATCTTGGTCCTGATCTCAGAAAAAAACATACACTTTCAATATTTTAGCAATAAGAATAATGTTTGCTGTATATTTTGAAACCTTAAAAGTCAGATTAAGGAAATTTCCTCCCCTGTCCAGTGTGCTGAGTTTTCTTTCATTTTGGAGGTTTAAATCAGACTTTAATTTTCAATAACTGTAATCTACTGGCTAATTGAACCAACTGTAGAATATTTAAGTGACTCACTTTTAAGTGTGCCAATGCACAAAAAAAAGGAGAGATCAGTTTTAGGAAAGGTGGGAAGTAGTTAATGTGGAAAATAGTAATTGTTAATTTCAATAACTAAATATAAATGAATGTTAAATTTGCATGGTATAAAAGAGAATAGCTCAAAGAATTATGTAAATAAACTGGGATTTACATATTACAGTAGCAATGTTATGACAGAGTGAACCGAAGACAGTCCTGAAAATTATCTTTTCAGCCTACTTCCAGTGGAAATAACTGTATACAATTTGGTGCTTTGTCTATACCATATATAGTAGAAAAATAGGTCATTTACCTAGATGTGCCAGTGTTAAACTGAAAACTATAAATTAGAACCATTTAGGTCATAGGTATAAGTAATACAGAGTAAGTTAAGGGTACATTTGCCAGATTAAAACATTGCTGTACTTTTTAAATTCATTTCTGCTTTGCAACAGGAGTAGAAGAGACTTTATTTTCTAGGAAAGATAATAACATGTAAAAATATAATACAAATAAGGTAATTTGTAATATACCTGTACTTCAACAGCAGCCTACTTCATGTTGACATCTTGGTTCTGAAATTGGAAGTACAACACCTGGGACATAACAGTTGGAAAATAATATATGTTTTAAGGGTAAAGTGGAACAAATCAACTGATTGTCTTCTTTTTAAAAACACAATTTCCACAATTATGCAGTGCTGTTTTCCACATGGAGATTATGATACCGTATCTCTTTTTTCCTATAATGAAGAGTGTAATTGATTTCCAAATGTTAAATTAACCCTGAAATAAAGTCCATTTGGTCATCATGGCAGTATCTTTTTAATATACCATCATATTTTATTTGCTAATATTATGTGTGTTTTGGGGGTCTTTGAATCTACATTCATGGAAAAAACACCCATAATTTTCCTTTCCTGTACAATATTTATTGTATTTTTACCATCAATATTTTGTTGGTTTTATATAATAAAAGATTGGATAAGACTGGTATAATTTATTTGTTCAATGTTTGGAAGAATTTGCTAGCAAAGTCCTGGTCCTAGAATTTTCCTTGTAGAAAACATTTTAATTTTGTTATTTTAAATAATTGCATGTCTCATGTTGCTTCTTGTGTCAGTTGGTAAATTTCATTTAACCCAAATTATAAAATTTATTAAAGGAAAATATATTTGCAATGGCATCAATAGTACTTTCTAAATCATGACCTGTGGGGTCCATAGCACCTTTTTCCATTCCTAGTGTTGGCTTTTTTTTTCTGTTGGTGTTGGGATTTGAACTCAGGACCTCACACTTGCTAGGCAGGCACCCTAACACTTAAATCACTCTGCCAGCCCTCCTACTATTAATCTGGGGGCTTTGTTTGTTTTCTTTATCGCTCTTACTAGAGGTCTATTGAATTTTTAGTTCTTTACTGATTATTTTCATAGTCTGCTTTGATTTTATTAATTTCTTGTCTTTTTAAAAATTACATTCCTTGGGTGTCATTTGCTATTCTTTTTTTAAATTGAGAAGTTGATTTAGAACATAGATTGAAGCCTTTTTCTCTTTGCAATATCTGCATTTAATGCTTTCAGTTTTGCTTTGTTTACCTTATCTGCCTCCAGTGTGTAGCTTTTTTGTACTTTCATTAGCATTCAGTTTAAATATCTTCTAATTTTATTGTGATTTCTGTTTAACCTAAGGATTATTTAGATGTGGGTCCCTTAGTTTCCAAGCAGTTGGAGGCTAGGTTTCCCACCTCCCCTCTTGCTATTTCTCTGTTATTCATGTCTACCTCACTTTCTCTGTGGTCAGAGGATATGCTCTCAAGATTTTGATCCTTGATATCCGTTGAAGCGTGTTTTATGAACCCATGTGCAGTCAGTTTTGGTAAGTATTCCAGGTGTCCTTTGTAGGATTTTTAATTTTGTCATTGTTTGGTGCTTCTATGCTAATTTGTCAATGTTGGCAATTGTGGTGTATGTATTTTCTCTTTCCTTATTAATTTTTATGTCTGCTTGTTCTGTCAGCTATTGAAAGAGATGTGATTATGAATCACCATGATTGAGAATTTGTTTCCTCTCTACACACTTACACACACACACACACGCACACATCGTTATTGAGTGTATACAAATTTAGAATTGCTATATGTTCCTGAGGGTCTAATTTCTTTATCAGTCCATCATCTTAGTAGTATTCTTGCCTTAAAGTCTACTTTGTCTGCTACTCATATAACCATACTAGCAATATTTTAGTAAGTGTTCGCATGGTGTGACTTTTTCAATGTTCTTGTGTGCTTATATTTAAAGTTTGTTTTATGAGCAGCATATGTTTCTTAAAAATCCAGTTTGATAATCTTAGTCTTTTAAATTGGACTGTTATACCTTTACATTTAATATAATTATATTTATATTTTTATTTGTCAGCTTGTTATTTTAATTCATTTATAATATCTTTAAAAATATGTCTTTTTTTGAGAATCACTTTAGTTTTGACTTTTTAGTTATACATATGCATATATAATATATATATATCTTAAATAATTACTTCATAAAGATACCATTAATATCAATATAATTCCAAAATGTCCCACTTCAGTTTTCCCCCTTCCCAGTTTTGTTTAATTTTATTTTATTTCATTTTCTTATTATCATATTATCGTTGGATTGGGGGTACATTGTGATATTTATGAAAGTTCTTACAGTGTATCATAGTTACATTCACCCCTTCCATCATTTTCTTTTATCTCCCTTTCCCCACATTCCTGGAATAGTTTCAAAAATAGTTCCATTTTTATTCATGAGTACATAATATTTCCAGTACATTCATTCTCCTTCAGACTTTCCTTATATCCTCTCCCCTCCCACAGGTCCAGACAGGGCTTGTTTTCCCCTCCTGTTCTCTGCTTTTCAAAAAAAAAAAAAAATTTTTGTTTGTTTGGGATAGCTATATAGGGAGTTTCATTGTAACATTTCCATGTGCATATGTAATATAACCCAAATTGATTCATCTCATCTATTTTTTCTCCTTTCAACCTTAGTTGCCTTCGTATGGTGATTTCAACAGGTTTAAAAATTCTATATTCATTCTTACATAGAAAGTACATCAACCATATTCACCTTCTTAACTTCCTTCTTTTGCCCTCCCTCTCTTGAATGCAGCGTCCCCTTAGTATAACTTGTTTTTCATAATATTGCTTGTATTTGCATTGTGTCTGTCTCACATGTGAGAGAAGTCATGCATCCTTTTTGTCTTTCTGGGCCTGGCCTATTCACTTAACATGATGTCCTCAAATTCTATCCATTTACCTTCAAAACCGCATGATTTCATTCTTTCTGATGGCTGAATAAAACTCCATTGTGTATATATATCACATTTTCTTAAATCTATCATCAGTAGTAGACATCTTGACTGTTTCCATAGCTTAGCTATTGTGAATAATGCTGCAAACATGGGTGTGCAAGTGTCTTTATTGTAACCTGACTTACATTTTTTTTTTTTTTGGGTATATCCCTAGGAGTGGTATTGCTCGATCATATGGTGTTCTTTTTTAGTTTTCTGAGGAGCCTCCATATTGTGTTTTCTATAGTGATTGTAACAATTTACATTTCACCAACAGTGTATGAGGGTTCCTTTTCCTTGCCAACATTTGTTGTTGTTTGTTTTCTTGATGATAGCCATTCTAACAGGAGTGAGGTGGAATCTTAATGTTTTTTGATTTGCATTTCCTTTATGGCCAGGAATGTTGAGCATTTCTTCATGTGTTTTTTGTTCATTTGGACTTCTGCCTTTGTAAAAGCTCTGTGTGACTCATTTGCCCTTTTCTTCATTGGGTCATTAGTTTTTTGGGAATTTAGTTTTTTGAGCTCCCCATATAAAAATATGTCCTACTTCTTTTGTGTTCATTTTCTCTCCTTCTTCCTTTTGTTTCAAATTTTTGTAATTCAATTTTTTCCCTCTAGTAACTTGTTATAGACAAGTTATACATTATTTTACTATTCTTTTGATGATAACTCTAGGGAATGTAACATGTACTCTGAACTTACTACTGTTGAGTAAAAATTATAACTACAACCACTTTTTTAGTAATGCAGGGACCTTACTCTGTCTTTTGCATTTTTTTGTCATAAACTTTTATTTTGTACATTTTAAATCCCACAAGATAATGTCAATATTATTTCATTGAGTAAATATCCATTTATACATACTCATAAAATAAGCTTTTTGATATTCTTTATTTCTTCTTGCACTCCTTGTTTCTGTTTGGGGTCATTTTTTATTTACTAGATGAACTCCCTTTGAGGATTTTTTGTCTATGTATGCTTTTCTCTGGCAATGAACTATCTGCTTTTGTTTGTTTAAAAATGTCATTACTTTATACTTATTTGAAGGAATTTTTTCTGGATATAAAAATCTAAGTATTTTTACCATATCAGATACTGTTTCGTAGTCTTAAAAGATGGAGGCAAACTATATTGAGCTTCAGATAATTTTTGTAATTTATAATGTTTACATTGACCTTGGTGTTCTAGTTGATGTTATGTGATTTTTCCTTTAACACGCTTCTTTCTAATTTGAAATGATGTGGGATTTGGAAAGAAAAATGCCTTAATTCAACAGCCATATCCTCCACCTCCTACCTCTGAGGCAATTTCCTTATGGATAAAATGCAGAATATATAATATTAGCTGTATTTCACTGAGAAACTTTGAGTTTCATATATATGAAAGTGCTCTGTAAAATGTAAAGTACCAGCCACTTTACACAAGTATTTATCTAGAATTCCCTCATATATGTGCCTTTTCATGAGCAACCACAAAATAAATTATGGTTTATATTTACATATACCCTTCCTTGTGTTAAATACAGTGTTAAAAGTTACATAAAATATCACATTGTAAATTTATTTCTAATCTTTTAAACAATTAGCAAGAAAAAAACCTGGCTGGTTACATAATTCATAATGCCAATATGATAAAAATAGTCCATGATTTAGGAGTACAGTTATTTTTTAAAACTAAATTCAGGGAGGAATTTATCCTTAGCTTTGTTTATGATGTATAACTATTAAAAAGACTTTTCTGCTGGCTTAGAGGTTACTGATTTGCATGGCTAATCCATGCAAATTGGATTAAAAAATTGATCTAGAATTTTAGTCTTCTGTTGCATATTCCCTAAGGGAGAATTATACATTTTAATGCGAGCTGCAAGTAGCTTCTCTCTCACCCTACTTGTAAATGGATTATATTCAGAAAACTAGATAAATAATGCCAGTTTCCTTTTCAAAATGCATGGATACACAGTAGAGGGAAGGTTAGACTAATAAATTAAAATTTTATTTTGCATATATAACATTACCAAAACAGCCTTAGAAAGACAATATTTAGCTTCATTTTCTTTTCCCCTCACAGAGGATAATAAAAAATTTTCTTACTACATTGATCAAATATTTAGAGTCCTTACTATGTATAGACATCTTGCTGACTATTGGTTTCTTTATTCTCCTTTGGAAAAAACGGTCATGTGTGTGTGTGTGTGTGTGTGTTGGTAAACATGTATTTAAATGGACAAGAAGAATATGAAACTGCAGTTTTTAAACAAACAACTGAAATGTGTACTAGTGCCTTGTCAGTGCCCCATTACCTCTGAGATTTTGTACACATATAAAATAGGGCATTATTTGACTTTTGTCTGCAGGTCACTGGCATGCGTGCTGTATGAGATGTGTTGCATGAAGCAGGCATTCACTGGCTCCAATTTCTTGTCCATTGTTTTAAAAATTGTCGAAGGTGACACGCCTTCACTTCCTGTGAGATATTCAAGAGAATTAAACACTATCATGAAAAGGTAAGGTACTAAATCTGTCGCCACAGAAACAATTTTAAATTATGTTATTGCATTTAAAATAATTTATGTTTTACTTCATTTGGAAAATAATTTTCTCTTTGAACATTACAGCATGTTGAACAAGAACCCTTCATTGAGACCATCTGCTATAGAAATATTAAAAATCCCTTACATTGACAAACAACTACAGGTATTTAAAATGAGAGTGATCCTGGAACAAAGGTATTTATGTATACAGTGTGACTTGAGGCTATGCTGTGGGAGTGAGATGTATGGAGAATCCATCAGAAAGAAGGGGCAGAATTAAACGAAGCTGAGAGAAACCTTAGTACAATCTCTGCAAAAGAGAATATAAGAACTCTGGTTCCCTGGCGCCACTGGAAGGAAATGGGAAGTTAGGGCTCTGACTTTCTGCCTCAACCCAGTGTGTACCCTTATGGTTGATAGAGCTTACCTCAACACTTTAGAAATACATCCTTGCTAGCTCAAGAATGTACCAATAGCAATTCTAAGACCTGGGGTCTTCATTTAGCATTTTTCCCTCCTTTATTATATAGTTCAATAAAACTTGTTATTGATTAGGTGAACTTACTTTTATGTTCCTTTGGATAAAAGTTTTTAACATAGAAGATCTGCCTCAGGTGGTAAGAAGGAGAAAATACTCCTCTCTACAGAGGGCTTGTTTTCTTTCTTTTCACATCTTCTCAGGCTTTTGCTATTCTAGTTCCTCAGGTGAATTTCTGATTTTATGAATAGCTTTAATAGGAACCACAAGGCAGTCAGCTACTTTCTAAAACAAGCTGCCTTTTCATCAGTAGCCAACTTCTGAGTGCAAAGGAAGCAAGGATGCTGCTGCTGTGTTCTCCTTCATTAGTGCCAGGCACTGTGCTGGCCCTGGGGAAGCCAAAAGGACAGCATGGGACAGGCCCAATTCCTGTTCTTTTGAAGTTTGACTGCTAGTGAGATAACCCAATAGCCAGGAAAAAGTAGGTATAAAAGAGAAAAAAATCAAAAACACTGGGATGAAAGTAAAGAGGAAACTGTAAAAGTAAGGAAAGGGAGGTCAAAGAAAGACCAGGTTCCATTTCAATGTCATTGAGCCTACGTAAAGGACCTAAGAAACAGTGTTGGAATCCCAAGGAATGGGTGGTACAAGGCCCTGAGTTAGGCCAGGTTACCTGGAGGGGAAGGTGCTGTATAGGCACATGCTCCCAGGGGAAGCCGAGGAGGGCATGGGGAAAGCAAGATGGGATGGAGAGGCAGCCTTAAGTCTCCCTTGACTTCTAGTTTTCCCTATGTGCAAGCACAGCAGGCTCCAGCAGCCTAAGGTTTGTCCTCTGAGAAAGGGACATAGGTGCTAGCTGTTGTGATCAGAAACACACCGAAGGTCTGAAAAGGCTCTGAATGCACAAAACAAAACAAACGAAAGAGTGAACTGTGAATGTAGAAAAAAAAAAAAAAAAAAAAACAAGGTCCCAAGGGTATGAGGCAAGTGAGGCACTTGGTCTTCTGAAAAATTTAAGGGGACATCAAAAACTTATAATCAATATTATTTTAAATATCCAAATTAATGTTGATAATCCCCGGTAACGAAACATCAAAAATTTAAAAATAGGCTCCAACAGGACCAGGATTAGGACAAAGCAAGTAAACAAGAATTGTGGAAGTTCTTGATTGGACCCTGTCTTTATTTAAACTTTTGATTCTTCATGGATTTTTTTTTTTTTTGGCAGTACTGGGAGTTGAACTCAGGACCTCACACTCAAGTGCTCTGCCACTTGAGCCATGCCCAAGTAGTTTTGCTTTTAGTTTGTTTTTCAGATAGGGTCTAGCAATTTGTTTGGGCCAGCCTTGGATTATGATCCTCCTACTTCTATTTCCTGAGTAATTGGAATGACAGTCATTAACCACCATGCCAAGCCCCTTTTTTCATGGCTTTTTGGCATTAATTTGAGTTTTTAAAATTATACTAGGTTCAGGTATTACTTATGTTGGCTACTGAGTTTTTTGTTGTCCCCTTAGATTTTGTACCTGGTCCAAGGGACTGTTGACATTGTCCATTACAGGCTGAAAGGTGGGAAAAATCTGTGTGTTCTTGGAGATGTAACTTGCAAGAGCCCAGAATACTAGCTAACTTCAGAACAGTGATGTACAACCGTGCACAACTCTGAGGGACACTGATTTTAAAGACTAAAGCTATAATTTTGCTGAAGGAGCTCTATTTAATCTCTATTTAATCTTCTTGTCAGAAGACAATAGCAGTCCCTCCCCAGAGGTATGCAAAGCAGTGGGGTGAGAAAAGTGTCTGTCAGTGTAATTTTACCATGTAATTTTGGCAAGTCATTTGATGTAACCCTTTAAAGAGAGAAAAAGTTATCTGCGAGTTTGTTTGCAAGCTCCCAGCCATGGCCAGTAACACTCCAAAGCAGAAAGAGCACTCAGTAGTTTTATGCCCATCCACTGCTAAAGAGGGACCTTTCAGGTTTGACAGGGTTGTTATTCTTTTCAGCACCTGATGTGTAGATATTCAGAAATGACTCTAGAAGACAAGAATTGAATTATCAAAAGGAGGCTGCTCATATAGTTAATGCCATGTAAGTAACTGCTTTTTTTTTTTAAGTCCATCCAGTGTAAATGTTAGTGCATCAGTCTTAAAAATACCTATTAGACCTAAGCTGACTGCATGCAGCATTGTAGGATTCACTTAATTCTTGCCAAGATTAAGCTTCAGTAATGTGGCGTTCCAAAGTCGTTTGCCCCAGGTGGTAGCAAATTGAAATCATAAAGTTTAAACCACTGCACAGCTTATAGATCTGCAGGGCAGCTCTGCAGTTGCCTTGTAAGTGTATAGAGAAATGAATATCTCAAACACTTAGTAGTACTTGTGCTAATGAGCCTTCCATCATAAGCACAAATGGCTTTCATATGTCATTTGTTTAACTGGCCAGAGTATCTATGGAAGGAGAATGTTGTGAGGTCCTGGGACATTGAAAATGAGCAAAGACAATAGCAGTCCCTCCCTAGAGATGGGCAAGGCAGTGGAGCGACAACAGGGACACTTGATAGACTGGTGTTCAAGGCCTAATAGCCTCATAGACTCCTCTAACACCCAGCTCCATGGTTTCCTGGCTTCCCCGTGCTTGTTTCCACCCTCACATTCAAACCAAGGAAACTGGTCCATCAGAAATATCAAAGATCATAATGTATGATCTGCAATTCAAGTTCATTATGTCCTATGGGAGTAAATTTGTGGACATGCTCCTAATAGCCTTGTTTTCTTGTGCTACTTTTTCTTGTTTACTTGGGTGATTTTTTAGAAAGGTTGGTTGTTTTAGAAACTAGAGCTGTGACAGTAGAGGATATCTTTAAAAAGTATTGAACTAATTTTAGTTATCATTTTTCATTTTGATTGTGAAACAGTTTGTCTGACACTATGTATACTTAATAGTGTGCTAGAATCCAGTTGTTTGTGGGTATTTCACATTAAGAAATATTGGTTTCAATTAGTCATTCTTATTTTCAAGATCTGTGGCTATGTTGTAAGGAGATCTGTTTAGTCTTACAAAATATGAGATATATCTATTCCTGAAAATTTGTGCACCTCTTAGAAGATTTGGTTTGGATGATGTTCCAGAGATATGAGAGCTGACTGTGACAGTTTTTCTCATAAATGTTTAAGGAAAGAGTTGAGTACAAAAGGCATTGTGCAATATTGGGCCCTAACAGAAGCAATTGTCATTGAAAGTGTTGTGACACACCTTTTAATACTTGGTCAGGGTGAACATGTTTCCTTAACTGAAAAGAGGTTCTTATGTAATAATGCTCCTAATTTGGGGGATTAATGACCATGTACTTGGCTCTGTTCCAATCATTTTTCATGAATTAACTCATTTAAATGCAGAGCACCCCAATGAAGTAGGTACTATAATTTTTTATAATTGTGGAGAGTTTAATTAACTCGTCCAAGGACATATAACCTGAGAGCTAGGATTTGAACTCAGAAAGTATTATTAACCTCATGATTAACTGCTATACCATGCTGCCATAAAATATTTATTGTAGTAAGGTTAAAATAGTAGACATTCAGTGAGATTTAGTTGTGGAAATACTACCATTTGGAATAATTTTTAATGTATTAGACATTGTGCATGCATTACTTTATACCATGGCCATTCTTTATAGATGAGAAAACTGAGGTTCACTTTCTTGGCCAAGGTCACAGAGCTAATGAGTAGTGGGAGCACTCATTTTGGATAGTACTCTGCCTATCCAAAGATTGTATCTGTCCTTATCCTCATGGTTGAATCACTTGCTGGTCCATTTACTTTCTAATAGCCAAGATCCTAATTTGCCTTATATTATGGGAAAACCAGTCATTGGCAATGAAATGAGCAGGAGTTTGGAAAGTACATAATTTGCTTTTAAACAAAATATAATTTGAAACAAACTATTGCTGATTAACTACAGTCCTGGTTGGCTCGTTACCTACCCAGAGTTTATTAGTTTTTGCCTGGCCCGTCCCAAGATGCTATTGCTGTCTCAGCAGTGTAATGATACTCTGTAAAATATTTGTCTAATTTTTCTGAGCATGTTTTGGATGGGTTGCATATGGGGAACCTTTGTTATTTATAGGCAAAAAAAGATCCACCTGCAGACTCTGCAGGCACTGTCTGAAGTGCAGAAAATGACGCCAAGAGAGAGAATGCGGCTGAGGAAGCTCCAGGAGGCTGATGAGAAAGCCCAGAAGCTGAAGTAAGCCTCCTTTCCATTGGGCACCTCATGGCGTGCACTATTTCACAGGGCTTTCAAGGAATTCAAGGAAGAAAAGCAAAAACCCAAACAAGAAACCAAATGCATAGGATTATATGTTTGTTTATTCATTCACTCCTTCACTCAAGGGATGATTACCGAGCCATAGATTGGTTGTCAGGTACTATTTATATCAGGCTTTCAGTCTTGTGTAAAGGGAAAGACTGAAAATTCACGAAATTATTAGTGATGAAAACAGGGTCAGTCTCTAAATGGAACCCCTTTGTTGCTGCACCTTCTGTATGTAACCTAATAAGAAACTGAAAAGACAGCTTCCTTATTTCATTGTCATTTCCCAGGTGCTTGCTATCCCCTCTACCAGGCAACCTAGAGATCTGTAGGGAGGGGAGAATTTGCTGGCAGGAAATTGTTAGCTTTCAGAAGGAGGTCAAGTGGACACAGCTCTGTTCTGTCAATGAAACCCTTGGAAAACTGTATGCTCAGGGCAATGCTGCAGGTGGAGGATTCCACTAGTAAGTAGTTTTTATATGAAAAACTGTAATTTCAAGCATTGGCCAGGGTATGGAGAAAAGGGAATACTTGTACACTGCTGCTGGAAATGTAAATTGGTGAAGCCATTATGGAAAACAGTATAGAGTTTGCTCAAAAAAAATTGAAACTAGACCTTCATATGACTTGGAAGTCATACTTTCTGGGCTTACATCCAAAGGAACTGATATCAGCATGTTGAAGAGGTAGATGCGCAACCATGTTCATTGTAGCATTATTTACAGTAGCAAAATATAAGCATCCATCAAAGAAGATGTGAGATACACCCCCACACACACACACTCTGGAATTCTATTTAGTCTTAAAAAGAAGAAAATCCTTCATTTGCAGCAATATAGATGAACATGGAGGACACTTAAGTGAAGTAAACCAGGCATTGAAAGATAAGGCTGCATGATCTCATTCACATGTGGAATGTAAATATGGAACTCCTGGAATTGGAGAGCAGAGTGGTGGTTACCAGGATGGGAGCACAGATGAGATGCTAGACTAAAGGTACAAAGTTTCAGTTAGACAGGAGGAATATGCCCTAGAGTTCTGGAGTACATAGTGACGAAAAACAAGGCATCGTTTATTTGAAATTGCTAAGAAAGTAGACCTTGAATGTTCTCACCACAAAAAAATAGTAAGAATAGCAGTGATGGCTATGTTAACTACTTGCTCTAATCACTTCACAAGGCATGCATATAAAAAACACCATGCTGTATGGTGCGTCATGGGCAGTGCCATGTTGATAAATGTTAATAAGCATCTCTGGGTTTGGAGGTAGCTGATTTGTTTGCTGATATCTGTGGTATAAATATTCCCATCATGGACAATTTTAAACTATTAATGTGTTATCCTAAATGTTCAGCTGGAATGGTAAATATACACTATCTGATCTCGGAAACCAATAGAGGTTTGTTTCTGTAAATACTGTAATATTGAGTGTGAGTTTTACTGAGAAAATATATTCACATAAACTGCTGAACCACTGCATCAACTAATAGCCCTAACTCTGTTTCTAGCACTTACAAAAGTGTTAATATCTTTAAGGTACCATGATTCGTGTCATTGGTTAAGGGTAAAAGGAAATTAAATCTGATAGGAATAGATTAAAAGGGAATATTTAATAATTTATATGCATAAGTTATTATTCAAATCAAAACTATTTTTGTAGACAAAAGTAAGTCATAAATCTTCCACCTGCTACACTAATATTTTGTATTTACAGGCAGTTGTTTCTACATAAATCTTGTTTTGATTTTATGAATGTATTACATTAGAATTTTGATAATTACTAGGATTCAAGAGGGATCATATGTTTTAGCTGGAAAATGGCTTTATTGTCAAAGGGTTGTAAGATATCTGTTTTATAGACACGAGAATTTGACTAGATGTATGTCCAGTGACTTGTCAAAATATTTAAATTACACCTAACTAATTGTAATAATTTACTTAATCTTCCATTTTGTTGCAGATCTATTAAACTCAACTCTCCTATAGCAGAGGAAACAAAGAAAATATATCTACAGAAAAATTCCCTCCATTGTAACTCCCATGTGCTTTCCCATAAAATATTTGATACGTGGTTCTGTTTTCCCTGTGTATGAGTTTTTCATTCTGAAAGTAGTTTTGAGTTCTTAGTATGTGCTAGGCATTGGACAGTAACCCTCTATCACATTCAGGATTCCCAGGGGTTAGTACTGTGCTCTCTTGATACTCTTGAGGGTTTCTAAGTATGAAGAAGGAGCTTGAACATCCTCCTGTGTGCTTAAAAGAGAATCAGCTGGGTACTGCATTGCACACTGATCCATGAGGAGGAGACCTGATGGCCTGGCTTCCCAACACCACCATCTGCCTGCTAAAACAAGGGTCTCTCACTCATCTGTAAATATAGATAAGTTGCAGTTATTTTTCACTTTAAATTTGCAGAAAGATTGTGGAACAAAAGTATGAAGAAAATAACAAACGGATGCAAGAATTGAGATCCCAGAACTTTCAACAGCTGAGTATGGATGTACTCCATGTAAGTACCCTCTTATTTTAAACTTTGCATAAACCTTTCTTTGCTTCCAATTCTTCAGATTCATGGGGAAGGTTGTATAGAAAAATGGACATGGTAGAAAACAGAGGCACCCAGACCCACTTTGTCCTCTTCCAAGGAGGGTTCTAGAATGTAGACCAGCAATTGGTGATGGCAGTTGTTCAAAGCAGCTTGTACCTAGAGGTGGAACAATTGACTCTTCCATCAGATAT